TGGGACTATCCATCGATTCACTTGACATTCTGTTGTTGCAGAGCGTCTGATTACACTGTTGTTGTTGTTGTTGTAGTATTACACGAGTGTGTTCATTTTAAACAAATAAGAAGTGGCGTATGCATCACACATGCCATGGCTCACGCTTTTCCTTGGCCAGTAGAAAGCAGACACTTGATTTTGTTCAGTATTTCATGCGTATCATTGGTAACAATAGCTTCCTTCATTTGAATGATTGACAGTAGATTGTAATCATGACATACCTCACCTACTACATGTAATACTAAGTAACCTTTTAGCTGGAGTAGAAAGTGATATTGGCTCTATGAACCTATTTGACTAGCTACCAGGCGTCTTCTTCATCTTTCCAGCTCAAGGAAAGTCTGCACGAAAGACAAAATGGCTTACACTTGGCCGGTAGTCGTTGCTGGCATTTCGTTCGTAATTTACTACACACGCCTCTCTTGGTTGTTGTTTCCATGTCTTCTATTTGGGGCGTTTCTTGCGTCAGGTGGAAAGTCTTTTCCAAGGGTGTTCTTTCGTACAATTTTGCGTGATCTGAGGTAAGACCTGCTGTCTCTCCCCATACGAAGAAAAAATTCGTGTACTAACACAACTCCGACCCAACTAAAAATGAGCACTGGAGATAAAAGAAACAATTAAGTATCACTATAAGCTTTGTACAAATATTTTCGTCCTGATGTAATTAAACATCGGTGAATTTATTCTTGTCTGGCTATGCTGCGTAAAGTATTCAATGGATGGAGCGTATAATTTAAGGTTAAGGAATCTGGGTCTCTACGACATGAACTCCATATAGTTTTATTTTAATTATTGAGTTCACTTTTATCTTAAAAAAAACCAATATTTACCATCAGGGTCGTTTACTTGGTTGCAAAGATTAGTATTCGAGTCAAAAGAATTCAGAAGAAGGGAAATGTGACTGTTGCTGACTTATTTCGAGGAACAGTGTCTAAACATCCGGGGAAAGCAGCCTTCATATTTGAACAGACAACTTGGACATTCCAAGATGTGGAGGATTTCTCCAACAGAATTGGAAATTATTTCAAGTCACAGGGCTACAAAAAGGGAGATGTAGTGGCTGTCTTTCTGCATTCCTGCCCTGAGTTTGTTTGCATATGGCTGGGTTTGTCTAAGATTGGTGTGATAACTGCCCTCATTAACAACAACCTTCGACTAGAGTCTCTGAAGCATTGCATATCTGCTGCAGATCCCAGGGCAGTAATCTTTGGAAGTGATCTTTCAGGTGAAAAGATCATGTCTTCTTTGTTAACCCTTTAACTCCCAGACCAAATTTGTAATTCTCCTAACCATCGACCATACAATTCTTATGATAATAGTTCAGAGAATTGAGTCTTGGATCAACCAATTATTCCCAAATTGACATTTTCTTTATTCTCATCACTTATTTGGTTGATATTGTATTGATATGGTAAGGAGAAATTCTGTCTTGGTCACTCATGGGAGTTAAAAGGTTAAGTGAAGTAACCTTTGCATGAGAGGTTGGAAGTTGGTTCAATGCTAACATAATGGTGTCAGCCAAGAAAAATAAAATAATAAAATAAAAAAAATAATGAAAATAAATCTTTAAACTATGAGCTTTAATTAAAAAAACACAGACATATCAATTAAGACATGAAGCTTTCATAATGCTTTTCAACTTTACAGAAGACATACTATTGAGACCACTCTAGCTTGTTTAAATCATGAGTACACTAACAAGAAATTAGGGTTCATTATTTTTTTTTCTTTTGCTAGACCTTATGTATACTATTATTTATAATTATACCAGAATTTCAAAGAAAGGTTAGATTTAGAGTAACATTGACTGCCCTCTGAGTATCAGGTTCATGATAAATTTGTCAGTAATTTATCTTTTACTGTGCAGTCGCTGTGAGAGATGTTCGTAGTCAGTTACCAGAGGATGTGGAGCTGTACAACTTTGGAACATCTCCTTGTTCTGAGGCTTCAGCTAAGAGCTTGCTTCGGGAATTGGATAGAAGTCCCTTGAAACCATCACCTGCTGATGAAACACAGATGTTTGAAGGTTAGTTGTCATTTTTCAGGGAGTATCCAGTGTAAGAAATATATTGACAATGTGGTTTGTGCATTTTCAAGTTTCAAGAATCTGAATTCTCTCCCCTTTCTACTGTACCAACACAGCCCTCTTCACTCTTTAATTCTCTTGGGTATATTCTCATTTCTTACAGATGCACTGATGTATATCTACACTTCAGGAACAACTGGATATCCTAAAGCCGCAGTAATAACTCATCAGAGGTAGAAATGATACAACATTGGATTTAGGTTTGACAACAATGTTGATGATGTCATTGATTCCCTCATTTCCCCTCTTCCTTACTCTGTTAACCCCTTTACACCCTAACATCAGCATCCATATTCTCTATACCCTTCTCCGTACATTTTCTGAGGTGCTGACTAGGAGAATTTGTTTTCAATAACAATCAAAAACTTCTTTAGTTAGAGATCATTTCTTTTTTTCTTGTGACCTTAATGATTGATTCATGGGTGATATTCTTTGGAGAAATTTGGTGCAAGTTCCTCTCAAGAGTTAAAGGGTTAAATTCTTGCCCTAACAAGCCCATATTGCTGCTTGGATGTGTGCCTGTGAACTTTCATTAAATATTTAAACATGTTGTGAAAGAATGTTTGACTTTAGGGACTTGAAATAATTGGGGCATTCAGGAAATTTGTACTTTGGGCTATTGCACATCCTTCTGTCCACACCAATATACAGTCATGTGTTACACGGTACACTTAACCTTTTGTTCCTTCAGGTTCTTCAGATTCAGCTGTGTTCCCTCTCTGTACAATATTACATCCAAGGACATCATGTACTGTACTCTACCATTATATCACTCTGGAGGAGGAGCACTTGGTGTGGGAGCTTGTCTTTTACAAGGAGTCACATTGGTTTTGAGAAAAAAATTTTCTGCTTCTAAATTTTGGGAGGAATGTATTGAGCATAAAGTAACAGTAAGTAGCTAAATTTTATAAAATAATTCAAATAGTATGCACATTCTGATTGGCCATAAAACCATTTTACATGAGCGTATGTAAACATGGTTTTCATTCCTCTTTCATTAGTTATTTTATAAAAGAAATGTAAAATGGTTTCCATGTTTACATAGCCTGATGTAAACACGCGGGAGGTTGGGAGAACACAAGATAAGTGAAGGAAACCACGATGCTTTAAACATGTGCAGCAGAAAAATTACCTAATGCTGGCTGCCAGCCAGCATTTAACTTGATGCCTTAACACTCAAGAAACAAAATTTGCAAAATTTTTCTGTTGTACTTCTGTACAATC